AGATTGTCTGGTGTGAATGAAATAAAGTTATACCTACTTTTATTAAATATTTTTTTATTGATTTCAGAGAGAGGAAGGGAGAGGGAGAGAGAGGAACATTGATGTGAGAGCAAAACATTGATCAATTGGCTGCCTCCTGCATGCTCCCTACTGGGGATCAAGCACTCAACCCAGGCATGGGCTTTGAAGGGAAATTTGACCATGACCTCCTAGGTTCATGGGTTGCTGCTGAACCACTGAGCCACACTGGCCAGGCTATACCATTTTTTTTGTCAGATTGGCAAAAAATGTATTTTTTGGTGTGCCATAGAACTTTACTAATTAGTTTATGTGTGACACAAGATGAAAAAGGTTGAAAATCGCTGACTTAGACAATAGCCTGCCAGCCAGTAATTACTCCATAAATAGTGATTGTTTCTATAGTTTTTGTTGTTTCTGTAGTTACTCCGAGCAATCCTAGGCGCCTCCCTCACCTCACTCCTGCTATCAGCCTGGAGGGCTGAACTTTGAGACTTAGGGGCAGAGGCATCTGTGGAATTTGCTCCCCTTGCTAATCTGGCAGAGTCAACAATCATTTCTGTGCAAACCCCAGGAGCCTGTGGAGATGCTAGAGGTCATGACATAGAACAGCTTCATGGGAGAGGCACTGAGCCTGGATGGAGGGAGTGTCCACAGCCCAGTGGGGAAAGGAGGTGGCTTTATGAGGGCTGGGGGAGCCAGCTGCCTGTGGAGGGGAAGGAGAAGGGGTGCAGGAACCACGAGGAGCTGGGTGGGGGCACTTGGCATGTGAACAGCGTGCTGAGGGCCAGGACAGGGGATGTGATGTGGGCCTTTAAGGCTGGAAAGGAAGGGGACTCAGAGCCTATGAAAAGAACCATTTTCTGCGGTGCTCAGGAAGGGCCTCTCATGGGGGATTTCCTACGCAGGGCTCCAGGCCTTGGCTGCCTTCCCAGGGAAAGGTGGTGTTTGTCGTGGGGCTCGTGCACACTGCCCAGCTTTAGTTCAGTGATGAACGGTGCCCACTCCCGTCTCTGGCACTGCCGGTCTCCCTGAGCCTGTTCAGCTGGGAACAAAATGCTCTTTGCTTGAATCACACACTTCAGACGTCTTAGTGGGACTCTGAGGTCACGGCAGAGGAGGAATAGAGGGGAATAGAAGCTCTGAATAATGCTGGAGTGAGGGCAGGGCCACAAAGGGCATGCCCTCCAGCTGGGACAGAGGGGGGGATTTCACACACATGGGCCCTTGGCACAGGGCTTTAGTGTGGCCCAAAGACTACTGGCAGGCCCCAGACACGGCTATTCAAAAAAGCTCAGTGTGGTCTAAGGCAAAACCTACTTGGAGAGAAGAATTTCAAAATGGTTTTTTAAAAAGCACAATCAACGCCCTTTCCTCTTCCTCTCAAGCCCAATCAAAAAGTACAGTGGACACTATTGAAATCACATCTCAGAAGCAGCATGGCTTTCTGACGGCGTCTGCCAGGATTTCCGATGAGGCCAATAGAAACATGCTCCATTTTCATGCTGTTTGGTGAGTAGAAGAGTCCTTGCACACCTGTTCAGGCGAGATGATGGTGACACTCTTACTAGAGGCATGGCACTGCAAACACAATCTACCCCCCTGCCCATTTCTAGCCTCACCTCCTCTTTTCTCTCTCTTCGCTCTTTAGTGTCCTGTGTCTCCCTTCTTCTTGTGTTGACTTTCTTGATGTCACTCTCCCTCTTCTCTCTTCATTTCTTGCCTCACCTCAGTGCTCTGCCCAGCTGACAGAAACCTGTGGGACAAAGTGAGCAAGCCCCATCATGTCCGGAAGAGGGGCTGCTGAGAAGGCAGTATGGCCAGGGCTAGCTGCCAAAGGCAGGAGGGAGGAGAGTCTGGGTCCCTTGTCGCAGCCCGGGTGCATACTACTATAAAGGTCCTTTTCTGACTTCAGCCCAGTCACAGAAACATCTGGACCTGCCCCATGTCCAACCTCATCAGCAAAGAATCAAGAGAGACAGCAATGTGACCAGCTAATTCCCGCTAAGGAAACAACAGATGGAAAGGGTTTAATGTGTTTAACATCCAGGAATATTTTGCATCATAACTGGACACTCTCTTGTGCACATAACTGATTTATAAAAGAATGAAAATTTAATGTTGGAATATAAGCACACAAAAAATCAGAATGAGGGGGTACATTTCAGGGTCAGGAGAAGCCTTCCTTGTGTTTTTAAAATCATTCACTCATTCAATCAGTCAGTCATTCATTTTTACCAACAAATATTTACTCAGCACCTACTATGTGGCACAGAATGAAAGCATATAGATGGAAAGTTATGATTCCAGCCTTTTTGAGCCTTAAAACCTACCCCAAGACAAAGTTCTATCCAAACTTAATATAGCTTTGTTCGTGACATAGCTCCTGGGTGAAGCAGAATCCCCTTGCAATCCTCCATTGTGGAACTACCTTGGGCACAAATAAAAAGATGGGATGGTAGATATTCCTTCACCTTCTTTTAATCCTCAACCGAGGATATATTTTTATTGATTTTAGAGAGAGAGGAAGGGAAAGACAGAGAAAGAGAAACATCAGCATGAGAGAGAAACATCAGTTGGCTGCCTCCTGTGTGCCCTGACTGGGGATTGAGTCAGAAACCTAGATATGTTTCCTGACAAAGAATCACACCTGCAGCCTTTGGGTGCACAGGATGATGCTTCACCCAAGCGATCCACAGGGCCAGGGCGAGATTCCTGCCTATTGATCCATTAGTCTATCCACCGATCCACTCTTCCACACATCCAACCATCCCCTTTCCGACCCTTCAGTCACCCATCTGTTCATCCACCTATCTACTGACCCACCCATCCGTCACTTATCTACTTACCTACCCATCCAACTATTCACCCATCTACCCTTCTACCCATCCACCTACTTACCACCCATCCATTTACTTATCTACCCATCCATCATCCTTCCAAGCATGTGGTACGAGGTCAGTTATAGCTTAGCAGGGAGCAGGCACACCTAACCAATTACTGTGGCAGGAAATTGTGCAAAGACAGAACCCAGCAGTTGCAGATAGTGTCCACGTCTGACAAGTCTCATGTGAATGGCTCCTGAACACTGGGTTGTGATCTGAGAAACAGAGTTAGGATGAATTTCAAGGGTGGTACCAAAGGGTCACAGGGACCAGGTGCTTACATTTAATCAAGATAGTGTTTACCTTTTTCCCCCCGGCTAGGAGAGAGCTGCCCAGAGAAGGCCAGCATGGCAGTCAAGTAACAGCGCTTCATGAAAACCTTTCTTTTATTTCCCCTCTTTAAGAATTGTATTTTATTTTTCCATCTCCATTTATCCACCCTATGCCCTCCTCCACCTCCACCCCCCCACACCTGAAAACCTTCTTTCCACCACATTCCTGCTATAGAGATTTTCCTCAATGTTTTGGCCCGTTGCACGACACAGGTGCCATTCTGAAAATTATTGCTTTCTCCTTGAACATAGAAAAACTAAGGATAAACATTTCTGTGGGCAATTGAAGTTTCCAATACACTGTCCATTGACAGATAACCCCCAAATTGGAGGACTCCATGGAAATCAATGCCTGAAATTGTCCCTTTGTTCCCCAAATGTTGTATTTCAGTACTTTTCTGGTTGTGGGAATTCTAACTGAAATTTATTCATTTCTAATGTCAATTTGAGTTGCATCTCTTTTTAAAATGCTCCCCTCTTCCCATCTCAATGTCAGGTGCAACAGTCATTAGTTATCAAAGTAATCTGTCCCTAGCTGAAAGATAGTTGAAAAGAGGAAACAGGGCAGTGGTTAGAGCCCCCCCTCCGCGCCCCACTGTCTGGTTCCCACGTCTTGCTCTGCCACTGAGTTACCAGCTGACTTGGGACAGGGGACTTGGTTCACTGAGTTATTGCCTGTGTGCTGAAGGAGAGCAGGCAAGGGACCTAGAGCTGGTGCTGGGAGCACTGGACTGGGAGAAAGAGGCCCCTGTCCTCACTCCAACCCACCAAATCCTTCTTAACTGCAGCAAGTTTTTGAGCTTTCTTTTCTTTGTCTCTAAAATTAGGGGAGAGAACATATGATCTTTAAGGTCGTTTCTAATACTCAGAATCTTAATTCCACTCACTCTGGTACTTAGTGTATTTAATACATGGAATTGATCATTTAAAAAAAGTTTATTAAATTGATTTGAGAGAGAAGGAGATAGAGAAACATCAGTTTGTTGTTCCACTTATTTATGCATTCATTGGTTGATTCTTGTATGTGCCCTGACCGGGGATTGAACCCACAACTGTGGTGTATTGGGATGATGCTCTGACCAACTGAGCTATCCAGCCAGGGCATGGAGTCAATCATTTTTAACACCCTGCTCCTCTAGATGAAAATAAAATCCCCCAAAATCATCACGACACATGATATTATGGCTTTTTGCACTCAGTTTCACTGTTTTAAAATGTAAATACAATAGAAGTTATAAGTGGTCACTAGAATGACAGAATTAAAGTAACAAGTTCTGGTTCTTCATCTTTAAAATCACTGTGCTATCACTCCTTCACATTTTGGGTTCAAATGCAAGCAAGATTTTGTAGGACCTTATGGAGCCATGACTATGCTGAGAATAAGCTCTGACAGTTCCAACTGGACATGAATTTGCTCAAACATGTGCATCTGAGACCACATATATATGAACTCTATATATGAGTTCCTAGGATTAATTCGTATGTAGAATACTGTAATGTTTATTGAAAAATAAATGGTAAAAATGTGCTAAGCTAAACCTTCCATATATATTAAGGTTCAACAGTAACTACCACTGGTTAGCACTTAGACCAAATGATTTGAGGGCTGGGAAAGTGTTTTTATCACTAACATAGTTTAGAATTGTTATGATGATAAAAAAGCAGACCAATATTTTGTCAGTTTTATCATTTAAAAATACCTTTCACTCAGCTTATATAACTGTAGTACATTTACCAAAACATAGAAATTAACATAGATACAAGCTATTAACCAAACTACAGACTTTATTTGGAGTTTAGCAGTATTTCCACTACTGTCCTTTTTCTGCTCCAGGGTTCAATTCAAGATACCACATTGCCTTTAGAGGTTTATAATTGTTTTAACATCCTTTACAAATCACACAAGCCCTTGGTGCCTACCCCCAAAACTGCCACCCCCACCACCCTGCCCTTCGAACACAACTGATTCCACTAAATGCTGTGGTACTAGGGGCATGGAGATCTGATGGCTGTGAAGTTTCATCCTTTGGCAAAAGATGCTGTTGAGCCTGACATAATATCTTGGATTGCCAGAGCACGAACACCCCACTTTGTCAAACTGGGGATCCTTCAGCCAGACACTCCAACAGTGACTGTTGGGTCTGTGACATTTGTAAGGCTCAAGGGCCTAGTGTATAGAAACCAGAAAGCAAGACTTGTGTTGGGGCAAAAGTGTTGTGTGTCCCGTGGCAAAAAAGCAGAAGTATAGATTAAAAAGCCTTGAGAAAAGCACAGTGCAGATGCTTCTGGATGCCTGCTCCATACCAATTCTCCTCTTTTTTCTTGCCATCGGAATTTTTCTAAATTAATAATATTTATTGGTCTCTACTATATTCCAGGTGCTGTTCTAGGCACTGTTGATAGAAACAAAACAAAGATCCCTGCATTTGGAGCATTAGTTCTAGCAGGATAGAGCTGAACAAGGTTTCATCACAAGGTGTGTTGAACATGGGTGTGGGAGCTTTTATGCACAAGGACAAGTTCACATTTAAGCCTACTGTGTGCTTCCAGCAGCCGCCTTTGAAACTTGTTGCAGATATTAATTAAATACATTTCCTATGAGAGTTCTTACAGCAATTGTGCCATTGGAATTTTTATTTTGGTCAGGAGTAGCTAGGATCTCCAAAAAAGGCTGAAACTCTCCAGTGCCTCTGAGGTTGCTTTCCAGGTAAAGTTAATCCAATCACCAATTCCACTCACCTTGACAATAACTGGTTTAGGAATGATCATGTGGTGTCATTCTGGCCAATGAAACATGAGGGGATTCCAGGATTTCTGGGAAAGTTTTCTTCACACTTCAAAATGTTCCTCTTTCTCTTGTCTGAATTTTGTGTATTGAATGAAGGATAGAATGCCTGGAGCTGCTGCAGCCATTTTGTAACCTTGAGGGACAAGCCTGAGACAAAAACAAACACAGAGCGGTGAAGTGGAAGGATATTAAGACACTAGTCTCCGATGAATCACTTATCTCTGGGAATGAACTAACTCAGGACATCCTGTTATGTGAGAAAATGTATTTTCTACTTTGGGGGGATATTGGTCACATTTATGCCAACTAAAGCACAGCATCTCTTATTCAGTCATTCATTCAACCAACACTTGAAAACACACTATGTGAGACACTTGGTGCTGTTGGAATGTGAGAGTGAGTAGCTGGGTCCCTGCCCTGAAGGGTCACGCCATCCAAAAGAGAGGTAAAATTCACAGACAAACTCTGACTGCAGGAGAGCCTGCAGCTACCTGAGAGGTGTGCCCAAGGTGCTGTGTGCACGCCTCCAGCCTAATGCCTCGAAGACAGCTTTGCAAATGAAGAGGCACCTGCTCCTTCTCTTGAAGGATGGTTACCTTTCAAGCAAAGGGATATGGGAGCCCTGTGCTGACCTGCTGGTCTGAGTCCTGGTTCAGCACCCACTAATTATGTGGCCCTTGGCCATTCCTGTGTCTCAGAACAGCTACAAGAAGGGGTTGGTAATAACTGTCTTGCCTCCCTCACATGGCAACCATAAAGCGCAAAATAAACGTGAGAGGTTATTATCTCTTCCACCTCTAGACATAACTATGTACTCACCCATTCCTAGGTCCCTGGCCCAGCCTCTGCGTAGTTTTCCAATTCCTTCTTCCTGTTGCTAGAGCCACCCTCTAGTCTCCTCCTTAGTTTCACCAACCATCTCCTATATTTCTAGTATTTTCAGTATTTCAAATCCTCCCCTCTCTCTCCTGAGTGTTTCTTCTCTGTCTCCAAGCATGCTTCAAACTCAAAAAATAAATATAATTTAAAGATCCTTCCTTGGATCCTCTATATCCCCCAAACATCATCCACTTCCCTTTTTCTCACCAAATTTCTTAAAAGAATAGGCTGCTTTCCCTCCTCCTTTCCTCACCTTCTACCCACTGTGAGGCCCATTCTGGTGAACAAGCTGGCAGCTTTCCCCTCCCCCTGTTCTCCCCCCAGGCTCTTTACCTTTACCTTCCTCTCTCCTAAGCTTCAAGGGCCCTCCTTTTGCCTCTATATATTGTTTACTGAGCTCATTTCTTCTACCACTCACTTATTCTACTTCTGTGACTTTCTAAATAATTTTTTTTAATAATAATAAAAAAAGAGTGGGCTCTGAAAGGCCATGATGTCTGTATCTGGAGGCTTCGTTTTTGTCTCATCCTGCCTGATTTAACCTGCCCCTGTGAAGTGCCTGTGTCATGGTTCCCTCCACCCCACCCCACCCTTCCCTTTTCCTCCTCCCCCTTCTCAGTGTTGGGGTTCCCTAGGATTATGCTAACCTAGGGTTTTTTGCTCACTTAGCACTCTCTCCAGGGAACACTTACGTAAGCTCATGGCTTCAACAGTCCCATTGTAGATGAAGCACAAATACCTTTCATTCTGGTTTTTCCCCTCTAAATCCAACCCAGGAGTTTCCAACTGACTTGTCCAAGTGCTGATTAGGATGTCCTGTGACTCTTCAAGCCCAGTTAGTTCAAAGCCGAGGTCAACTTCTCCCTTATGCCTACTCTCTCTCTCTGTTGTTTCAGTTTGTTTTTTTTTTGTTTAATGGTCACACCATCATTTATATCATGCTGGCCTAAAATGTTGGCTCCTCCAACTCCCATACTTATTATAGTAAAGCACTCACCAAATCCAATGAATTAACCCTTGAAATGGCTCTGAAATAATTCATCTCCCTTTGATTCTTATAGAACTATTCTTTGTGGTGTTATTTATTTATTTATTTACTTATTTATACTAGACTGTATTAGTAGTTTCTCAAGTGGTGTTCTCGACACCACTCTGTTTAAATCAAAATAATCTTTCATATTCCTGATAGTTCTCTCTCCAAAGACAGGTTTGGTCATGCTTAAAATCTTCCCATCCCTTCCTATTGTTGGCAGAACACAGTCACAATTTTTAAAAAAATTTTTTTCAGCTTCAGTTATAATTAACAAATAAAAGTGTAAGATATTTAAAATACACAATGTGATGACTTGATATACATATACATTGAAAGTCACAATTCTGTATCATAATGCTCAAAATCCATTACAATCCTTAACTCTTCATAATTCATCTCCACCCCTTTTTTGCATTTTGTCAGTAAAATTCCTCTAGATAAAGCTCCAGCCCAAATATCTTTTCCCCTGTACCCCAGACAGAATTAAGTTACCTTTCCTTTGCATTTATAGGTTATATATTTCAAACTGTTCTTAGATTCACCATCATCACACTGAATTGTTATGATGTTTCTGTTTCTTCTAAAAAATTATAAGCTCCAGCAGGGTTATTAATTACCCTGTGCAGCATAACAAATGAAAACAGGATTTAGTGACTTAAAACAGCAAACGTTTATTATTTCACCATTGCTGTGTGTCAGGAATTTGGGAGTGGCTTACCTGGCTAGTTCTGACTCAGGGTCTCTCATGACCTTGCAATCAAGAGATCAGCTGGGTCTGCAGTCATCTGAAGACTTGACTGCAGCTGGAGGATCTGCTTCCAAGATAGCTCTCACAAGCCTGGCAATTTAGTGCTGGTTGTTGGCAGGAGGTCCTGGTTCCATGCTATGAGGACTTCTCCATAAAGCTGCTTGAGTATCCTTACAACATGGCAGCTGGCTTCCCCAGAGCAACTGATCCAATACGAGAGGAAGGAGAAAACCAAAGTGCCTTTTATGACCTAGTCTTGGAAATTGCACCATCACTTATCCCATATTCTATCTGTTAGCAGCAAGCTACTAAGTCCAGCTCATATTCAAGGGGGAGAGGGAGTTAATCACCACCTCTTGAAGGGGGTAGTATCAAACAACTTGAGGTCATGTTTTAAAACCATCATGAGTTGTCTCATTTTTCTGTTTCCAGCAACTAGCACAATGTCTGGTACTTAGTAGGTGCTCAGTAAATGTTTCTATTGAGATGATGTGTTAAAGGGGGAGGTGTCGGAGTGTGGGTCAGGTGAAGAATGGTGGAGGTGGGAGTTGGCAGGAGATATTCTGAGGGAAGAATTCATAGGCTCCGTCACTGATTAGATGAGAGGGGTTGAGGAGAGATCCATTTTGGGTTGAAGATAGTTTTGAAACTAGGACTTAAGAGATGGCTGTGATGGCTAAAGTAGGCATTTAATACTTCCTCCAGGGAGTTTTGAGGTAGTGAAATATCAAACCATGCATCTGTGAACCCTATGTCTAATTGTTCAATTATATTTGAAAGGGCCCAGGGCTGACAGTCAACAGTATGAGCACAGACTAAGCCATTCCCTTTACTTTGGGTTTCTCATTTATAAATATGGAGGTTTAATACCTAACTATCTTCCAGGACTTTCAGTTTAAACTCTTAATGTTAAGAGGTTGAAAACATCCCACCTTTCGCAAGAAATTCCCAACACCACATCCTTTACAAATGGTCATGGGGAAACTAACACTAGGTAACTATAAGGTTGAATTGTGTAAAATGCTGGTATTCTAGTTTTGATCTATAATGAAATCAGTTTCATAGGGTTCAACCTAAGAGATGTAGCTGCAGTTTGAAGATTTGAATACTGAGGAATAGAGTAGAGAAATAAAATGGAGTCACAATAGTCAAGCTGCTAAGTTACTAAAATGAAGTAGGTTGAGGTATGAGAAAAGGACTTTACTCTTGTTTTAACTAGTCTGGGAACTTAAACTTTTGATGGTTCCAGTCCTGCATCAATGCCTGGATATACATGAAAACTGCAGATAACCCTCTGATTAAACCATGGAGGACTAAGGAAAGAATATTCACATACCAGATCACATGACATTCATTATCCAGGCCACCCATCACCTAGAGCAGTGATTTTCAACTGGTGTGCCAAAGAAATTTTTAAACATGCAATACCTGACTATTTTGTCAGGGGCACTGAGCTCTTTTCCCTTAGATTGTCAAATAAAAAAAATGACAACAAGGGTTGCCTGCTTGATTCCCCATCAGGGCACATACCTAGGCTTGATCCCCCGGTGGGGGGAATGCAGGAGGCAGCCAATTAATGTTTTGCTCTCACATCAGTGTTTCTTTTTCTCTCTCCATCTCCCTTCCTTTCTCTCTAAAAATCAATTTTAAAAATCTTTTAGCCAACACAATAGCCAACCAGTGTAATCAAAATTCTTGTCAGATTGGCAAAAAATATATTTTTTGGTGTGCCACAGAATTTTAGTAATTAGTTTATGTGTGCCATGAGATGAAAAAGTTTGGAAATCGCCGATCTAGAGGATTACCATCTCAGACCATTCCAGAGGCTAAGAATGCAGGACTGATTCTTCTCAAGAATGAAACCCTCAGCTTTTCTTTCCACTTTGGGAATACTCTGGGTATTGCCCAATTGTGTGTCTGGTTTGCAAGCCTGAAGATCCTTGAATAAATCTTTATCATTTATTTCTTGCCAAAGCCTCGGGATTCATTTAAGTTCAGTTGACAACCCCTTTTCACAGACGGAAAATTGAGGTGCTCCAGAGTTCTCGCTCTTTCTATTTCTGATAATATCTAAGGTCCAACTTTAAGAAAGGTCAGCCTTCAAGTTAAAAGAGGTTTTACTCCAACACAGGCATCATCTCCCATTCCTTTAAAGGGATTGAAGATCAAAGACAGTATGCTAAATGCTGAAGAGTCAAGATACTTAAGATGTAAGATTTATCTAGGAACCCCAGATAAGTCCAGTCTCAATCACATTTCATACTATGCCATTTTTAAGAAATTGTACTTACTTAGAAGTGAGATAACGATAGACTTAATAAAAGAATGAATACGAATTTAATAGCTCTTTGTTCGTTTTGTATTTCTGTACATCTAAAAAGTGATTCGTTGACTCCCTTACTGGTGGGAGTCCATCCAATATTCGCCAATATAAATTCATTTATTAAAAATACTTTTTGTGCTTTCCTGGAGTACTTTTTAAAAGTATTAAATAGAAACTGTCGGTGAAGAAGCTCTTCAGGCGTTATTCTTCCACTTCTTCAGATCAATTCATATTGAAGGTATACTTGGGGTAAGACGTGTAAAACTAAGTTACAAAAGCGCAAGGGTCTCCAAAGCCACAGCGAAACTTCACCGGCCCAGCCACTCCGTTTGGAACCAAGGCTGCCCCGGGGCAGGGTCTTTCTCTGGCCGTTTGCTGCATAATCCCAGCCATATGCACCCCGCCCGGCCCACCGCAAGCTCTCAATAAATACTCGATCAGCCGTGCGTTCATTTATCTCGCGTGCAGGGCGCTATGGCCCCGAGAAGGCCGGCGCGCAGCTCCCCGCCTCCCGCTGAAGCCGCGCGGCTCTC